CACACACACACACATCTACTCATGCACACTGGGCCAGGTAAATTCAGAGGGATTCAGGTTAACCAGGCATCAGTAAGATGTGCTGTCTGGTGATCATTGGCCTTCCCCCCTGAGACCCGTGTGTGTTTGTGTGTAGGTGGGTTCATGTGCATTCACATTGTGTCATACCATTGCCTGAGGTACAGTACATTTTTTACACAGTGTGCTCTCTTAAATAGATGGCAGCAGGAGGAAAAAGCAACTGAATGTCCTCCGCTTTCTGTCTGCCCTCTTTCTGTTTCATCGAGGAGCTCGCTCGCTGGGCTTGCTTGTACATGTCGAACAGGTCTGAGAAACAGAGGTGACTAAACACAAAGAGAAAAGCAAGGAGGCAGAGGATGCAGTCCACCACTGGGACATCACACAGCGAGGAGCCACTGGCAGAGCAGACACCGAGGCAGCAGCTAAAATGGTGTCTAGTCCCAATTATTCCACCAGCCAGTGTCCACTGTCCTGTTTGCATTCGCCAATCCAGCTCTCACTCTCAGTGATCTCGGCCTAATGAAAGGGAAGGCGAGGGCAAAAAATACAAACCAAAAATTTTGTTTTTTAAAGACGCACACTCTACGTTATAGAATATAAGTGCCACACCAAATACAGAATCTTTTTGCATTCTGAGAATACCGTTTAAATGTTGAGCAAGTGTTCCATCTTTTCAAGCTTCTTGCCTTTTCGCCTTTTCTCCTTCTTAAAGAAAATCTCTTCACAACACTAATACTAATGACCAACCTACAATAAAGTATTAGAACCTCTTAGAGCTGGAAAACATCTGAGATCGCAAGTATTAAGTCTTAATATTATGGGAATAAAGGCAAAATGTTATGTTGACTCTATGCTCTTTGAGCCTCAGTACAGAAAAAGATGAGAAAAAAGATGAACATAAGCTTATTATGTGGTATGAAAGAACATGTAAAAGGCAAATTTAAGAACGTCCCGAGACCCCAGAGGGTAAATCATCAGCTGTGGCTCCATGTCGGGTGTTGACCTCGAAGCAACACGTAGCAGAATCTATTTCCTCTGTATTTATTGATGTATCAGCATCATGATGTTCTAATGAAAATCTATTAGGTTATTTAAAATACAGTTGTCCTGACATAAGATTAATTAACATATGCTCTGGCTATTTATAGGCGTGTTTTTGAAGTGGAGCTGCCATTAAGTGAATTATTGCCTGTCACCGCCTCCAGCACTTCTGTTGAAATAATCAAATCAGATATGGAAAGTGCAGCCTGTAATCTCATTTTCTTAACCTGATTACATTTTGTTGACAGGACATTGGTGGGTCTGGCGGTGACAGAGCGCGACAGCCGAGTGCACGGGTGCAAGCTGCTTGGGTGAAGTTGTTTACAGTTAGAATTTAGATTTTAATTCGTAAAATAAAACTGTAGATTTTCTTTAACTGATCTGATAAAACTAACATCTCAACCTCTGTATCTTAACGGGTTTGTGTGCACTGGTAGTTCTGTGAGTTTATAGTTGTGGTCAGTACTCACAAGGAGAACATGCTGTTTCTGCTGAATGTTGAATTACATTAACTCATGAGGCAAAATCTAAAGTTTATAAGATTTAAATCCCTCAAGTCATGAGACATTTCACTGGTTTTATTTTAAAGGAGACTTACTGTGTGATGCGTTTCCATTTTTTTCTGTTCTCCATTGTGTTGTAAAGTGTTTTACTTAAAGGAAAAGTTCTGCAAAGTTACAAAAGCCCAGAATGCGGAGGTGCTGGAAGCTGTTGACCAATCACAACAGAGTGGACCCGCCGGCCAATCAGAGCAGACTGGGTTTCATCAGGAGGGGCTCTTAAAGAGACAGGAGCTCGAACCAAGTGTTGCAGACAGAGGCTGACAGGAGGAGCTGCAGCAAGGGACAGTCTGAGGACAATGATGTGTTTTCTGAACATTAGATTAGCATGTAAACATTTACAAACCATAACTGAAACTAATTATGAGACTGAATACGAGCATAAAAAACAAAGTAGGTTATCAGTAACACATGTAAACATAAGAAAACAGGGATGGTTGACCTGGAGGGTGAAGAGTATGAGTGTGAGTGTGATACCAGTGTTGAGACAATGGAGGTAAAAAGGCTACTGGATGAAAATAACCTTTTTTACACAAACCCAGACCACATGAAATAGTTCTTGTCTTTAGTCGCACAGGGTGCACTTAATGTATGAAGTTAAGGTATATATTTGGAAAATGTTTTTATTTATTTATAATCTATTTATTTATATTTATTGTGGCATGCTGTACCATGGAAAGCATTCTGCAGACACAAGCAACAAACTCTCTGGGATATCTGCCATCAATATTTCATGATATCCATCTACTATCAGCGACAAAGTAAACCCACTCAGGGCTGGCATATTTAATATCTGAAACCCTTGAGTGCATATGTTTTTTACCCCATCTTTGAATGAAAAGTCAGACCCAAGTTGCAAAGTCTAATATGGATCTAGGAGGAAAAGAAATCTCATAATAGCTACATGCTTGTGGCTTGTTTGAGGAGGATCCACAGGTCTGACTGGCAGAGAGGTTAAAGGAGAGAAGTGGAATTAATGGATAAATTCAAGGCTCATCTCAAATACCCTCTATTCCAGTGGGTTATATACAAATACTGAACACATTTATTTGTTAGAGTATATTAACCAATACTTCTACTTAGGTGAATGGTCTGCATACTTCTTCTACCCGTGATGATTTGTAGAATTTGTACTGTCGGAGAAATGTCATTGGAGGAAGTCTGGTCTTGACCTTTCTCCTTTTCTCTAATTCACACTCATACCCCCAGAGAATACAGAAACTCAATTTCCCACAGTTCCCAGGGTACGACCCCTCCGTCATGCTAATAGACTGAAGTGACCTGATAGTGGTAGTGTCGTGTTAAGAGGAGCGTTTACCTTGACCCTCCTCTCTCACACCTATCTGATTAGCTGTCATCACCCCGCCCCCCCCCCAACCCCCCACTCACAGTCTCTTTCTCTCTGAGTCGCTCCGTTTCTCCTTCACTCTTTCGAAAACTGATCTCAACTTGGTATTTGGAACATTTCTGTCTCGAATACTGATTTCATCCTATCGTCAGAATATCACACACACAGTGTTATCACAGTGTAGAGATCCTCCACAAGGTGCATTACATGTAAGGGAGTTTGTGGAGAGGAGGAGGAGGAGGAAGAAAATGAATAAAGATCAGGTGGGGACGGATGTAGGAAGAGGAAGAATAATAATTTAGAGTACTCACAGCAGAGATCTTCTGTGGGGCTTTTAGTTTTATGGCCTGGCGCACATTTCCCAGTGTTGTGCTTGCATGTGTGTGTGTGTGTGTGTGTGCAGTACAGTATATTTGTCTCCAGCGAACACACTCAGCCTTGTGAACAGCAATAAAACTCTGTAAACTAACCGTTGAAGAATTAAACCTTCACCTGATGTGGTCCCTTGTGGCTTTTACTATTACACACACACACACACACACACACACACACACAAACGCACACGCATGGTCAAACAGTAAATGCCTGCGGGGTGCACCTAGCATGCCACCCACACTAAACTAAAACTGGAACATGCATGTATTTGCACACACATACACACACACACACACACACAAACGCACACGCATGGTCAAACAGTAAATGCCTGCGGGGTGCACCTAGCATGCCACCCACACTAAACTAAAACTGGAACATGCATGTATTTGCACACACATACAGATTTTTATATTGCAAGTAGAAATGTGTGTTGAGTATATATTCTTACTTTTAAAAATATAACTGTGATATTTCTATTTTAATTTTCAGTGTTTCT